ATGGTGCCTCTGGCCTGGCAGCGAGGCAGCAATTAGAAGTGGAAGGGTCAAGAAGACACACCTGGGTTCAGAGCTCAGCTCTGCCACGTTCTCACCTTGCCACTCTCAGACTAGTTATCGAATCTCTGCTTCTGCAGCTGCAAAATGAAAACAATCAGACTTCCCTCCGGGTTGTCAGCATTGCATGAGATCATGTATATGCATCCAGTGTTCAACACAGCACCTGTATGGTAAAAGTAAAATAATTGCAAAAATATGAAACCTACCCAGCAAGCAACTTGGAGAAGGAAGAGTTGCTATTTCTCATAGCATCTACTGGGCACCCAGAACCCCGCTGGAAACTGCGGGGTTTACAGGCGTCCATGATGTCTAACCTTGAGACACAGACAGTCTAGGTGAAAGACAAGGCAATTTTCCCAGCAAACAGGTGCGCTTTCACGGAGAGATAGATTGTGAGCACAGGAGTTCTCTTTCTCAAGGACTTTTCACCCCGGACCTGCAAGAGCTTGGCCTCCCCAAGTGATTAAGCCAAAGCTCAAAGGTCTGTGTCACCGCAGCAGCTAGCCTTGCCATGACCAGAACCTACTTGGTGGCTGGATATAAGGCCCCTGAAGTATCACACAGAGAGAGTCCAACCCGTGGGACCCTCACTGAGTGACACCCAGAACGCTCAGCCGAGAATCGAAGGTTCCACTTACTTCTGCCAAGTAAGAGTAAATATCAAATGAGACAGTCTTAGAGGAGCTGGAGGGACCAATGACTGCGAACTGCTCTGTATATTTTCCTACGGCTGCTGTAATAAATGACCACAAAGTTAGTGGCTTCAAACAACACACTCATTTTCTTACGGTGCTGGGGGTCAGAAGTCCGAAATCAGTGTCCCTGGGCTAAAATGAAGGTGTGAGCAGGGCCCATTCCTCCTTAAGCTCTGGGGAAGGATCCGCTTCTTTGCCTTTTCCAGCATCTAAGGGCTGCCTGCACTTCTTGGCTCTTGGACCCACATCACCGTGACCTCTGCTTCTGTCGTCACATCTCCTCCTCTGACCTTGACATTCTTGCCTCCCTCTTACAAGGATCTCTGTGATTACATCGGGCCCACCTGGATAACCCAGGACACTCTTCCTATGTCCATAACCGCAACTTAATCACATCTGCGGAGTCTCTTTTTCCATGTAAAGCAACATAGTCACAGGTTTGGGGGGCTGGGATGTGCAGATTTTGAGGAGTTTGAAGAGCCATTTTTTTTACTACAGGTGCCTAGTTCCCTGAATTAGATGCCTGTGAGTGTATTTCCCCTCATAAATGATTCAGAAAAACACTTCTCATCTCTAGCCCACTTACCTGGTCTAGCCTACAAACAACTTGGGGCTTGAATATATTTTTATTGAAGTAAGTCTGCTGAAGGTTAGTGAGAAAAAGCAACTGTGCTCCCGACATCACAAGAGAAAAATTAATCATTAACATTTGCTTTTAAATGCAGCCCATAGGGCACCACTTAATCCGATTTGAAAGCAGAACCTATATTTTAGTAGCATCCTAGCCTTCTTCACCCAATACTTGCAAACTGGGAGGCTCACTAACGCCTATGTTTCCCCGACCCTGTTTTTAACTGTTCTTTAAGTTGACTTGATACTGTGGTTTT